CAAAAAGCAGTCAAAAAGTCAAAACAGTCCTGACACCCCCTCCCTCCATCACAGCAAGGAGTTCTTTTGCAATGCTGGCAATGCAGGCTGGTATAAAATCCTTCCTGAGAGCTTGCTGGGGTGGTGCTCTGTCAAACTTCCCCTTTTTTCTGTGCATCTCAGGGTGATGTAGTCAGGGCCTTCCAGGGGCTGAAGGGAGCCTGCAAGAAAGAGGGGGAGGGACTGCTTACAAGGACATGTGGCAGCAGGTCACAGGGCAATGGATCCAAACTGAAAGGGAGTAGGTTTGGATTAGATATTAGGATGAAGCTCTTTGCTGTGAGAATGATGAGGCACAGACTGCCCAGAGAAGCTGAGGCTGCCCCATCCTTGGAAGTGTTCAAGGCCAGGCTGGATGGAGCCCTCATCAACCTGCTCTAAAGTAAGGTGTCCTTGTCCACAGCATGAAGATTGGAACTAGATGATCTCTAAAGTCCCCTGCAACCTAAACCTGATTCTATGATTTTGGGGAAAGATCTATGTAACACTTTAAATTTTCAATATATACATAATTTCACAGGGGTGTTTGTGTAGGATGGGTGCTAATATTGTTACTTCCACCTTTTCCCATTATTTCCTCTTGAGCAGAGACTTGTGGCTCTCTGAGAAGTGTCTGGATCCTCACAGTGTCTTCATGGCAGTGGACACACCCGTTGTGCTGGTGAGAAGATCAGGTGTAGGGAGAAGGAATGACTTGCCCCAAGCCAGAAAATCTGTGACTTCTTAAATTACTGCGATCATCTTCAGTCTTGGAAATGTATTTTCCCTCCCTTTGGGAATGTGTGTAGAAACATTGCAACCTCATTTCAGCTTTCCAGAGGTGAAATCACATATCATTTATACCTGATGCACTTGCCAATGCTCAGAGTGCTTTCCTTTCTGCCTCTGTTTGTTTTGCTGTGAGATTCCTGCTGTGAGTTCTCGAGTCCTTGGAATTATTGGTTTTCCTTTAGTACCTGAGATAAAGGACAATGAGCTGCTTTGATTTGAAAATCCACAACATAGCTGGAGCCAGGAGGTTCCACCCCCCATCCCACCCCCAGCACTGGAGCCAAGGGCCAGGCCCTGCCAGCTCAGCACTGCTGGCGTCACCGGTGTCACTGCTGTCACCCTCTCCTGTTCTGCAATGTGCAAACAGCCCGGGGGCGGAGCGGGGCGATGCTGTTTGAACAGTCCCTCCAGTCAAGGACTTTTCCAAAAGAAATCGGACAGGAGTTAATGGTGTGCATGTGAGTGCAGCATTGCACAGTGCAGGTGGGATGGAAAATGCAACATGTTGTGGCAGGAAGTGAGGAAGGAGCGTTTTCTCAGCGAGCCTGACTGGATGAACTGGCAGGTGGCGGCAGAGCAGAAAGAGGACAGGCTTTGTAGGATGGATGGATTTGGTAAAATCCTGTGAGTGAGCTGTGGAAGAAGACTGGAAAATAAGGCCTCTGCTATTTTGTCTCACCTATGATGCTATTTTGTTGTCATCTTATTGCAGGGGTTCCATACTGTTGTTTCCTTATCACCAAAGTTTCATACCCTCTTGGTGTTTCTCATGGTCATCTCCTCAAAGCACTGACTCTTTCCTCTTCACAAAGCAGCCAACAAACTCCCATTCCCTTCAACTAGCCACCCAACTCTTTTATAGCACCTTTTTCTCATTGGTTACAGCTGTGGCCTGTTAAAGTCAGGCCTGTTCCCAATCTTTGCTAATTGGCCCAGCTGCAACTCCTTAGGGGTAAGATTACTTTCTACACTATCTTTATTTTCTTGTATTCTATCCCCCTACACTATTTAACACTGCCTGCCTGCCTGAAGGCTCTCTTCCCACCTTTCCTTTTGCTCCATGACTTGTACCAGTCCTCTAGACCCTCTGCCACTTTGCTGTGGAGCAGTTCTCTGGGTGGGCAGGCAGCTGCCTCCTCCTGTGAAGCAAATGGAGTGTTTCATCCATCACTCACTGGGCAAAATTAGGGCCTTCCTCCCATTTTATCACTTCAGTTTCATGATTTCATGATTTTCATGAAGCAGATTGCTTCATGTCATCAGAGCTGTGGTTTTATCTGACAGCACCTTCCATGCTCTGCTTTCTCAAAACCCCCTGTGAGACTGGCCCATTTTGAACAAATCTCTCTTGAACAGTTTGCTACTGGAGGAAAGAAGTAATGGCTTATTTCTCGTGGAATGCTATCCCTTGTGGAGGCTCAAAACATGTTTGGTGTGTGATTTGCTAGGCCCTGCTTTGAGGTGACCACCTAGATTAGGACCAGCACTTTCTCTCCTCCCTGCACAGATGTGGACCATGGTGTTTGTTTGCAAGCTATACTAGCAGTGATCTTTGGATCTGCAGCCCTTGAGCACTGTGTCAAAGTGGGACAGGAATGATTAATATTTCATCTTGGAGAAATGCCTGATAACTCAAGATTTCATTGGGTTGGATTTTCTGGGCTGTCTCTATTGACCTATAGCACTGGGTTCGGGTAAATTAGTGAGGCTGGTAAACCTCTGAAGTGTAGGGAAGAGAGGATGGAGGAGGAAGCTCCTTCAGAAGAAGAGGAGTGAGACTTCAAGGGTTCTGTCTCTGGGAGGAGTCCTGGTATGGGAAGTAGAATTGCTGCCTTGAATTCCTTCCCTTCCTGGTAAGGGAAGTTGGATTGCTGCTGTGGAAGAGCGTCCCTCTCTTCCGCAGGGAGTTGGTATGTGCTGTTTGGAGTGTGCCAGCAGTTACACAAGCTTCATTTCTGAGATGGGGTGTCCTCCACACAGCATTACACCTCCCTCAGTATTTGCTCTCATGTGAGCACTTGAACCCTGGTGTGGGGCTCCTCTTCCAGAGGACTCTTGCCCTGCTGCCATCACATGGTGGCCAGGCTGAGCTTGGCAGTGGATCTCCTTTTCCCCTAAGTCCTGACTGCCCACCAGGAGCAGAGAGTGTTGTAGTGGTGCTTGCTGAGGCTCATGTTACTGTGCTAAGCCCTGGCTGAGGCAGATGTCCCTGAGGCAGCTCTGTGTGTGCATTCCTCAGAGCTGGCTGTCCCAGGGAAACCTTCATGGGTCAAGGTGAAATGGTTCAAGCCCCAAAATATTCTTCTGTCATATGGACACCTTCTGAATGACCTCTATTTAAGACAACCCCAGTCAGATGGAAAACCTGACCTTTCCTGGTACACCCCATTGAAGTGACCAAAACCATTATCAGCAGGTTATGGAGTCAGATTCCTGCTATATCAAGCAAGTGACATTTTGCTAGAAGCATTGGTGTGAATGGATGGTAAAAAAATAAACAAAGGATTAATTTTCTTCCACAAAAGGAAGGGGGTTGGGTTGGTTGGGTTTTTTTTACAATCGCAGACAATTTCATGAGGAAGATTCCCTTTGAGCTGTTCAGCTCAGCTAAAGAAAGTAGGAATTTTGCTTGGTCTTTTGATGTTTCATGGAAAATAATAATTAGTATTAGTATTAAATGCTTTAGTCAGCCATAGTGAAATGCCAGCCAGCCTCTATTTTCTCACTGATATGACACCAGTGACTGCAATGTGTAGAAAAATCCCACCCCCATGTGCTTCCAGGCTGCCCCTCCACAGGGGACTGTGTCCTTGTCCCTCTGTGTCACTGACACAGCAGGTCCCATCCCTGTTCTGCAAGGACAGCAGCAGAATGGGATGATGGGAGAAGAGGAAACAACAGATTTCCCTGCACTTGGCATGCACAGACTGTTATTAACCATTAATAACTCCTGTATGGACACAAGGAAGAGCTATTAAATAACCCAGTGTGTTTTTGCAGCTACATTGCTACCTCTCTAGATAATGTTTTACTTGTGATTTTAAGTTGTTTTTGCTGTCCTTGCATGATGTTAAACTGGAATAATCTGTTCTCTTCAGAACAGAAAGCATTCAGGGAAGGATGCATAAGAAATCACAGGAAGCAAGTTAATAAAAATACTTTCATTTTCAATTTCCAGAAACTCTGCCCTCACACAGAGCTGTTCTGTTTGTCACTGCCACAGCAGCCCCAAATACATGCTTCAGTGAGAAATATGTTCCTGGAAAATGTGCAGGAAATGGCACTGGGCACTGAAGTGCTCAGCTCCCCTGTAAAGCTGACCCAGGGGGCAGCAGCTGTGAAATTTTCTTTTCCCTTTGCTGCCAATGTACCTTGGCTCTGACCCGGGAAAACCTCCACAAGAGGGGTAAAATTCAGGTCACGCCTTGGCAAGCCCTTCATTGCATCAGGACTTTGGTTTCCAGGGTCTCTCTGGGCAAAGCTTAACCTCCCACACGTAGATGAGGCACCCTTTTGTAACAGGACTGTTGTGCAAAACCAGGCAATATGACATTTCCTTGAACTCCTGGTTCCCTTTGATCAGCAGGTCTCTCTACAAGGAGCTGACATTGGAAAGGGGGTTAGAATCTGAGCAAGAAATGAAGAGTTGCCCCAGGGGCTGGGAGAACTATGCTGCTTCTGTCTGAAATAGAAGCAAATACTCTGGATGTGGTTAGGTTAATTATTGGGGTTCACAATTTGTGTAAATAATGAGTGGGTAATAATCTATGGGGATATATGTAAAAGTTAGGGTCAGCTTCATGCATCAGGAAAATCCAGAAAAATGGCTTGGTAAAGGCAGAAGGAATTTCCATTAATGGAAAGGGTGTGTGGTCCATCAGAAGGAGAAAGAGTGGGCTGGGATAGGGGAAGGAGGAATCCTGCAAATGGCCACAAATGCAGCATCTCCATGGTACAACCAGCAGTGTCCTCTGTCAAGTGAGTGTGCAAAGCTGTCTTCTGGGGCTGGTAACAACAGCAGGGCATGGCCCCTCACAGCCAGCCTTTCCCTGAGAGTCACCCCCCCTTGGGACTTTCCAGGCAAAAGGGCTCAGGGAGCAGCAGCCCTGGCGCAGCATTTCAGGGCTTCACGGGATTATTTATTCACTGTGTTCCTGGAACACTTCCAGGCTTCCCAGCTCTGCCACAGCGTACGGATTCGTCCAGTACCCGCAAGGCTCCCAATCCCCGAGGCAAGGGCAGACTGCAGGAAGTGATTCCTGTCACAAACCAGTGTTTCTGGAGGACTGGCAGGGCTCTGGGAAGACTGAGCTGGATCCTCGTGCCCTCCCTTCCTCCCCAGCGCTCTCGGGGTGGTTTCAGCAGCAGCCGCGCTCTGCATGGATTTCATTGCTGGGGCCATCGGAGGTAAATGCATGAACTGGGGCTTGTTGGCCAAAACAGATGGCTGTGTTTCTTTCTTGTTCAGCTGAGGAGCAGCTCTCAATAGCAGAGCTGAGAGTCTGTGATGGGGGGCTGCTTGTTAAAAGTGTGTTCTTCCTTATGAAGTGGGAAATGTCATCAGAGCTGCTGGAGAGGCAGTGCTGCAGCTTGGTCAGCTGAGGTCATTGCCTGCAGTCTCCTCCACTCTGATTGCACTGGGACAGGGTAAAACTAATAGGAAGAGACAGAGTGTAATAGGTTTTGTGCAGATACAAGCCACCTTGTATAGCCCTGACAGTGAAACCTTCACGTGTCTGGCATGCAGGGGTCCCAGTAGGCTGCTGGAATGGTGGCTCAGGAGGGCTGAGGATGTGATTTGTGAGACAGGAGGGGAGGAAGCACAGTTTTCTATTGCATTCAGATTGTTTGGATGAATGCCCTTTGCACTATCTTGGGTTAAGATGCATTTGCAGTTGTGATGGTGATCTCAGCGCAGGCAAGGCCGGCAGCAGGCTTTGATCTGGGAGAAAGTAGGTTAGCTGTATATAAAAAAAGTTACAGGAGAGAAGTGTGATTAAATTCTAGACATTTTTAGAGCATGTACTGCTAAAACCCATCTTTGTTTTAAATGACAAAATGTACCCACTGGTCTCAGTTCTTTGCTGAAATCTTGTTAGATTTAGTGGAGTATATAAGATAATATATGCCTATATATATTTTTTATATATATATTAAAAATATATATAAAATATAATATATCCCAATAAATACCAGAAGAAAAGCCTTTGGTCACCACTGACAGAAAGGCCAGGTGAACCTACCAGGTGGCTGAGACATCCAGCCCAAGCCTGCGTGACAGATCTCACTTTGACATTCAATGAAATTTGGCATTTTCCCTCACCAGGAACAGCCTGTGGTCCTGCTGCAGATGTGTTTGTCCTGGGAAGGACCATGCTGAGTCTCACCCTGCCCCATTTAATAGCTCATGACCCAATATGTGCCAGTGGGGAGAGGTTTGGCATCTCAGCAGCATCCAGCCCTGGAGGTGCCTGTTGTGCCCATGCTTGGGGTGTTGGTCTTCCAGGGGTGTTGGGAGACCCTTCCAGGGAGAGGAGGATCTAACCAGCCCCACCATGATAGTTTGTCTTTCTCCTGCTGTGTCCCTTCTAACTTCAGGGCACTCTGTGGAGAAGGAAGCCCTGTCCTAGGGCTGGCAATGAGATGTCCATGCCAGAAGGATTAACCAAACCTCCTCTCAGACTTCATGTTCGTGGTGGGGCAGAGATGATGGCATTTTTTTTCTTGGACTTCTTTGTTTTTTAGCATGGTTTGAGACAGGTTACTTAAAGACAAGCTTCTTTTGCGAGGGAACATGAAGAGCTGAAAACAGAGTTTGAACATGGCCATTCCCCTTGTTTTTCTGCCCTGGCTCCCATGCAAGGCCAGGGTTTGTGCTGTGACCCCCTGTCCAGGTTCCAGCATCGTGTTCTGCCCAGCCATGCAGCAAGAATCTCCTCTGTGTGCCCTGGACACAGGCTCAGCCTGAGGGGATGCAGGCTGTGGAGATCCAGCTGGGAGCAGAAAAATCTTGGCTTGTTGTAAGGCACTTCACTGACCTCAGCCTGTCAGAGAGCAAGATTTTCCATCCTGTCCTCTATGTCCAGCTCAGAGCTTTTCTAGGAGGGATGCTGCAACTTCTCACTGGCTGCAGAGGTGGAGCTTGCCCATAGACAAGCTGAGGCCATCATCTTTCCCCTCAGATTGGATAGCTCCTGGGGTTGGACATCTATCCTGCAAGAACTGGGATGGTTTTGGTGCTGAGCTTGTTTTGAGGTTTATGTTTGCCAGAACAAAAAAACTGAAGCAGTTTTCATGTTCCTAAGGAGTCTGTGAACCCAGCTAAGGAGCATCAAGCAAGTTGAGGCAACATAAAAAATAAGATTTTCTGTTTAGTAAATTACACTCTAGTGAGCTAGATCTATTTTGAGAGTGTCTTGGAGAAAGCCTGGCTTAAGCACCTCTGAAAAACAGCAGAGGTCATGCCCATTTGAATTCCAGCCTCTGCACAAATACTGTGCATCACCTCTGGGCAATGGATTCTGTGGAAATGAGGTAAAGAAACTCAGCATCTTCAGCCCCAGAAACAGTGATCTGCTCTGGCTCCAGATAGAAGAAACATGAGAGAAACCTGCTTAGTGATGTTTTAGGAAGGAGTCCTTCCTGGCCAGTAAAATTGAGCAGGAGGTTGGACTGGAGACCTCCTGAGGTCCCTCCTGACTTGAATTTTCCTGTGATCCATGCACATATTCTAGCCCTGCTGCAGCAGCAGCCTGGGCCATGGCAGGGGATGGGGATTGATGGCTGGGGCTGGTGATGGGTGCAGGGTGAGGATGACTTGACTCTTATGTCAGGAGTAAAGACTTGGGGAGGCAAAGCCAATGTTTACCCAGTGGTGGTAGTGCAGCAGGGTCTGCAGCAGGGCTGGGCTTTTCCACAGCTGGGAGGTTACATGCAGTCCAAGGAAAGATTAAATTAACCCCCTCTAGAAGGAACATGCTGTCTCCTTACAGATAAAGCAGCTCCTGCTGGGGTTGTGTGACTGAGTGAAGCTCAGCTTGCTTAGGGTCAGGGCACTGATGTTCCCAACTGTGACAGTGTTCACAGGGGTCTGAGGATGAGGGAAGAGAAGGGGATCTGACTCCATGTTTCAGAAGGTTTGATTTGTTATTTTATGATATATATTACATTAAAACTATACTAAAAGAATAGAAGAAGGGATTTCATCAAAAGGCTAGCTAAGAACAGAAAAGCAAGATTGATAACAAAGGCTCGTGGCTCAGACAGAGAGTCTGAGCCAGCTGACTGTGATTGGCCATTAATTAGAAACAACTCTATGAGACCAATCATGGATCCACGTGTTGCATTCCACAGCAGCAGATAACCATTGTTTACATTTTGTTCCTGAGGCCTCTCAGCTTCTCAGGAGGAAAAATCCTAAGGAAAGGATTTTTCAGAAAATACCACAGCTACATCCAACTCTGCACAAAACAAAGGGTTTTGAAAGTTGCTGTCAGCCCATCCAGGGCATGGACAATGATCCCTGCTTCTCCCTGGGTCTCAGCAAGGTTTGCCATCAGCTCAGGGCTGTTTCAGCCTGGTGGGCTCTGTACAGCTGCCCCTTGCTCCCTTGTGATTGCACCCCACCAGAATCTCTCCTAATTTGAGTTGCTTGCTCAGAGTGATCTGACTTGTGCAGGGCTGTGAGCGATCCATTCTGAGCACTCTGTGTGTGTAGGGGATGCTGCAAGCTCTGCTCAATACTCAGGAATATCTCAAATAAAGGAGGCATAAAAAATGGTTCACTAAAACCAAAAAAGGTAATTCCCTTGGTTTTGCTGTTTATTTTGGTCACGGCTGATGCAGGGTTACTCAGCAGGAGTCCCACAGGAACCCTCTCCTGTATGCCCACTGTTCATTGCTGGCCTTCTTTGATTTTGCTGTGCAAACAGGGCATGTGTGGGTCATGCTATCTTAGTGCCAGGCTATTTATATCATGTGAGAGTGTGCAGAGCCCTCATTCCTCAGCCTTTGGTAGACTTGGCTGAGCTCCTCAGCTCTGACAACTGCTTGGAGTGCTTTGTGCCCCTAAGTAGCACAGTTCCTGGCAGGTTGGGTTATTTGGAGGTTTGGGGGACTCACATCTTTGCTGGGAGCAGTGAAAACTTTGCTTTTATGGTCTCCTCCCAAGTGGAGATGTTTGATCCTTATTGGAACCAGGTTGATGGGAGCCTTTAGAAAGAGACTGTTTAGGGCAACCTACTGTGCTGCTGTCTCTGTATCTTATCATGTGAACAGGGTGATTTCTCCAGAAGGGAGGTCAGTTCTTGTCAAACACTGACCCAAATCATCCTTGGTGTGTGATCTGCATGTGCCAGAGCTCCTGCCTTCCTCATCCAGTGCAGTGAGCCAGGACTTAGCTGTGCATGGTGCCCCTGTGTTCCCAGCATCTGCTCAGCCCATGCCCATCTCCTCTAAGGTTCAGGAGCTCTGAAAATGATGAGATGTGTCAGAATCTCCCAGCTGAGGTGGGGTGCACGGCCTGGGCACTGCAGCTGTGAGGGCAGCATTGCCATCCTGGCAGTGGCCCATGTGCTGCCAGTGTCCCTGTTTGCCCTGGCCAGGAGCCTGGGACAGCACAGGTGTCCCCAGATGACTTTGTGCATTGTCACTCTCTGCTTGGACCTCAGCCAGTGCTTTTCCAAGCCATAGTATTGCCTGTGTATTCCCCCTTGCCCTCTCTCTTCCATCACTGTCTCTCTTCCATCTGGGCCCTTCCCCCCCCCCCCCCCCCCCTTCATTGCTGTTTATCTGCTGTGAGATTTCATAGGTGTCTTTGAAGAACAAACCTCAATTTTCTGCAAGAAAGATGCTGTTGGTTGTTTTCCTCTGTAATGAACTTTGGGATTGTCTCCTGGTGACTCACAACAGCAGCTGCTGCTTTTCTCCAGAACATGGGAGAGCTTTCCAGAGCTCTGAGCAGCCATGTAATCGGAGGTGAACATGCCCATAGTGATAACACATTTTAAGTAGCTTGGGTTTGAATTTTTCTTTTTTAAAGCACTCAGTGAGAGGCAGTTTTCAACAGGTGAGCCACCAGATATGCCCTGTATCTCTGAATGCCTGACAGGCTCCTCCAGCACTTCTATGAACCTGATTTCTGTCTGAATAACTCACATGGACACAGCTCCATTGTTCTCCAGCCTGATTTCCTCTCAGGTGGCTTGAGAGGTGATGTACATTACTGAGGTGATGTATTGGGAGGAAGTTTGCTGGTGAGCACCTTTATTACCTGCTAGAACTTAGCTCAGAGCTGAGAAATGCAGTGAAGTGAGATCTATTTGTTGTTGCTACAGACAGAAATCCCTGTGGGAGCTCTTTAGCCCTTCTTGCTCGCCATTAAGCTTTGTCTCAGGGGATTAATGCATATGCAGGGCTATTTTAAGGCTGCAGGAGTGAGCTCCAGGGAGTGTTGCTGGAGGATTGGACACGCTGTCACGGCATGTGATGTTGCGCTGGGCGGGCTCGGCTGCCCCTGGACACTCCCAGCGCTAATCCCTGCCTGCCCCAAATCCCGCCGAGCCTGAAACCAAAACTGCTCCGGGCTCTGTGAGTGGGGACGCTTGGCCATAGCTCAAAGGTGCTGTAGTGCCCAAAGTGAGAGGGGAAACAAGCACAGCCCCGCATCCTCCGTGCATCCTTCGTGGGGCAGCGCTCTCAGGGTCTCTCCCTGCCTCATCTTCCTCAGTCTCGTTGTTGCTGATAAGTTTCCCATACTCTGTTTCCTCCTCTGGGTGAGCCTTGGTCACGCAGAAATCTGCATTTTTCTGTGTTATTCATGGCCCAAACGTCATTTCTGGAGCTGTAGAAGTCTGGTGCCAGGCACAGCTGGGCTCTGGAGCTGTTTGCTGCTATTCCCCAGTGCCCTTCTGTGATGGGAGAAAGATCCGCTGTGACATGTGATGTTAACCATCTCCTACATATTCTCTGTTTCAGGTGGCTTAAGCACAGCTGTGGGTTATCCACTGGATACAGTGAAGGTACCTGTTGGAGCTTTATTTCTTGACTATAGAACAAAAACACAGAGGCCCTTTTGTTCTCCCCCTCCTTTTCAGAAAAATAGTTCTATGATAATACTTTATCTGCATTGCATCCCCGTATCTCACTGTATTTGGTTGTGTTTGTCTCTAAAAAAAAAAAAAGAAATTGAATTGTTTGGTGGGAAAAACGCCAATCACTTGCTTTGAAAATTTTAAAAGTTTAATAGTAATAAAATGGTTATAAAAATAGTAATACAATTAATAATGATTTGGACAATTTGAATTAGGACAATATGAGACAATAGAGACAAAGAGTTACGGATGTCCTTGTACCTTTTTCTGGGCAGCATGAACCCGAAAAAGGACACACCTTAACAGAGGATTAACCCTTAAAAACAACAGTCTGTTGCATATTCATACACTTCATACATGATGCAAAAATTCCATTCAAACACAGGATTCTGTCTGGTCAGTGTCAACTTCTTCCTCTGAATCCTAACAGCGCCTTCGAGGTGGGAAGAAGTTCATTTCTTCTGATAAGAGGGCAATCAATTCTTTTTCTCTGAAAGATTTAGGTGTCCTGTGGCTGCCATCTTGCTGCAAGTCCTTTCTTTAAAAAAAGTATCCTACATAGCATCGTTTCTATTTTAACATTTTTTATAACCTAAAACTGCATTTAACACACTACTTAAGAGAATTAATACAGCATTACTTTCTAACATAACACATATAATATGAATTTTATTATTTGTGAAAAGTCAATCATAAAATATATGGATTTTTCACATTTGGTCACATTATTTTATGGTTAATTATCTGGTTTGCTGCTACGGCATTTGTTGTTTTATTTATTTTAATATGATATCTGCATTTTAAAGTTGTCCCTGTATTCCTAGGTGAGAATTCAGACTGAGAACCACTACAGAGGATTTTGGCACTGTGTTCAAGAGACGTACAGGACAGAAAAGGTGGGTGCCCTCAGCAGCACTGCAGGTGCCTTGTTTCAGAGCAGCAGAGCTGCCTCTGTCACTTTGGGGACAATGGGCACCGTTGCATGCAAGCATCAGCTGGGAGAGCCCTCACGGTGAAATTTAGCTTTGCTGATGAGCCGTCAGGTGGGAGATTGTTTTGGCTCAGCAATGCCCAGCCGGTGCTTTTGAGCAGATGCTTTCCCATGCCGCTCACCCTTAAAAATCGCCTTTGTCCTGTTTCCCACGAGGTCCGGGGCTTTTACAAAGGGGTGACCGCCTCAGCCCTCGCTGTATCAGTGGTTTCCTCAGTTTCCTTTGGCACATACAAGAACTTCCTCGGCGCCCTCTGCAAGCTGCGCTACGGGGCTGCAGATGCCAAGCCGTCCAAGCTGGATGTTTCTCTGGCTGGAGCTGCTGCCGGCGCTGCCCGGGTAGGTGAACACCCTTGAGAAAATCGCCAGTCACTTGCTTTTAACATTTTAAAAGTTTAATAGTAATAAAATGGTTATAAAAAATAGTAATGCAATTAGAGTAATAGTAATTTGGACAAATTGAATTAGGACAATATGAGACAATAAGGACAAAGAGTTACGGATGTCCGTGTACCTCTTTCTGGGCAGCACGATCCCCAAAAAAGGATACCCGTTAACAAAGGATTAACTCTTAAAAACAACAGTCTGTTGCATATTCATACACTTCATACATGATGCATAAACTCCATTCAAACACAGGATTCTGTCTGGTCATCATCAACTTCTTCCTCTGAATCCTAACGGCGCCTTCAAAGTGGGAAGGAGTTCATTTCTTCGGATAAGAGGGCAATAAATTCTTTTTCTCTGAAAGATTTAGGTGTCCTGTGGCTGCTATCTGGTGCGAGTGCCTCATTCCTTTCTTAAAAAATCCCACTAACATAGTTCTAATTTTAACTACAAAAGTTACCTTTTAATTACAAGAATACATTTATTATTAAAATGTTGATACAGCACTACTGATCAATACATCAAAATACATATGGTAAATATCTGCGTAGAGCCATACAATATGCACTTTCCACACCCTGCAGGGAAAGCACAACATGAGATCTTGTTCACAAACACAGGCAGCTGGAAAAGCAGGGAATGTTTTCTCGGTCCGGGAGGCCGCAGGGGAGCTGCAACAAGCCTGGTGGGTTTGTTTTTGCAGGGGAGGTCATGCTCTGCCCTCGCTGCCCCTTCAGGCCTGCTGGGCAGCTCGTGCTGGATTTGGTTTGCAGCGGCAGGACGCTTAAGAACGTGCCATTAACATGACACAGACCTTGGCAGCAAACACAGGACGAGGAAGAGAACACAGCATAGGCAGCAAACTCCCCCAGTGGCTGGAGGGTGTGTTTGTGTAAGACAGACAGACAGAATTTGGAGTGAAAGCATCCAGGATTAAACTCAGGGGGTACTCCTGGGAAGTGATGCTGTGTGACAGTCGTCACAGGGGTCTTTGGATGAGGGAAGAGACGAGAATGTTGACTCCATATTTCAGAAGGCTTGATTTATTATTTTATGATATATATATTACATTATAACTATATTAAAAAGAATAGAAGGAAAAGTTTCATCTCAGAAGGCTAACAAAGCTGAGAATAGAAAGGAAAGAATGATAACAAAGGCAGCTGGCTCGGACAGAGAGAGAGATCCAGCTCTGCCATGAGTGGTCACTAAATCCAAACATCCACACAAGACCAATCATGGATCCACCTGTTGCATTCCACAGCAGCAGATAACCATTGTTTACATTCTGTTCCTGGAGCCTCTCAGCTTCTCAGGAAGAAAAAATCCTAAGAAAGGATTTTCATAAAAAGATGTCTGGGACAATGCTGCCTGGCAAACCTGCAGGATCCTCGGGCAGGGCCGAGGCTGGGTCCAGGAGCAGTTTCCCACAGCAGATGAGGGTGAGCATCCACAGGTGCTGTGAATGGGGTGGAGCTCATCCCATCACAGTGATGGCATGCTGGGCAGAAATGTGCTGGGCAGAAATGTGTGCCTGGCCACAATCCTCTTACAGAGCAGCCCAGATGCTCAGGCTTCTAGGTGCTTCCTACAGTCAGTGACTCAACATGGCTTAAATTTTTATAGCCTGGATGGTCTTGGTTCAAATACAAATGCAAACAAGAGCCCTGTTATGTGCTTCCCTGGCTTCCCTGTGGCTGAGGACGTCCCTCTTTCCACACCCATCCAGTTTAGCAAGTAGTTACAGGTATTTAATATCCTGTGTTGATTCTGCCTTGCCCTCCTCTCTGCTCACACACGTGTCCTGCTGCTGCTGGGTGGAACAGCACAGACAGAGGGGAGAGGCTGGAGCTTGCTGGAGCTCACAGACAATGCTATTCCCTGAGAAGCTGGGAGACAAGAATTTACAGGAGGGAGACCAAAGCGCTGTGTAACTGTGAGGGTTAAAATGCCATTCTCTGGTGTTGCAGGTTGTGCTGACAAACCCCAGTGAGGTGGCTAAAGTTCGGATGCAGACTCAGAGGGACCCATGCCCTTCCAGCACACATCAGCCTGTTTCCAAGCCAAAGTACCAAGGGTCTCTACACTGTCTGAAGGTTATCATCAAGGAGGAAGGTTTTGGGGGACTCTACAAGGGCTGTTCTGCATTACTCTGCAGGGATTGCTCTGCTTCTGCAGTCTATTTCCTTTCCTATTCTGCTCTGTGCGACTGGCTCACACCAGATGGGACAAATAAACCAGGTGGGTATTGGAAAGCATCTGGCATTATCTGCAAAAATGGCTTATTTAGTGCCACACTAAAAGGCAAACCAGGCTCTGGGCAAACATCACGCAGTACCCACAAAACCTCACCCAGATCCTCATGAGGAGTTGCTCTGTGTGTGCTGGCTTTGGCCCCAGCCCTGGTGCCAGCAGCCTGCATGTGAGGGCTGCACTGTCCCCACTTGTCCCTATGCAGCTCCTCCTCCTGCAGGAGGGGTTCTCACCACACACTCTGGTGCCTGGAATGTGGATATGAAATCCTGTTAATGCAAAAACAGGGTAACAAGAAATTAAACATGGACAAAGCTCCTGGGAGCCCTCATGGAGCTCAGACAAGGGTCAGCCCAGAGCTTGAATATGAAGTTCAGGGGGGAGAAGGTAAAGACACTTCAGGTTCTTAGTTGTGATTTGGCTCCAAAAAGCAACTATCCACTTTGAGAAAAGATTGAATAGGTAAGATTCACAAAAAGAGCATCTGCCTGAGAATTATAAAAATTCAGTCCATCTGAGGAGGGTGTGAGTGCTGTCAGGCTGTACCTCATGTACTTCACATGGTGTTCAAAATGTCACGTGCAAAAATTCTCTGAGATCACTGGAAACACACAACTGCAAGAGCTGCACAAAATAACTCCCCAAAAACAAAAAGTTACCAAAGTTTGTTGTCAAATCTGAGATGGATGTAGCTGAATGAGGTGCAAGTGAACTGCCCTTCTCCCTTCACTCTCTCCTGCAGGTTTCCTTGTTGTGCTGCTTTCTGGTGGTTTTGCTGGAGTTCTGGCCTGGGGATTTGGTACTCCCATGGATGTCATCAAATCACGCATGCAAATAGATGAATCAGACCAGCACAAGTACAAGGGCCTGATCCACTGTGTGAGGGAAAGTGTGAGAAAGGAGGGAGCAAAAGTGCTTTTCAAAGGACTGGGTTTAAACTGCATTCGTGCCTTTCCCGTGAACATGGTAGTGTTTGTAACATATGAAGGTGTACTGAGATTTTCAGATCATTATATGAACAACAAATAGCTTGTTCCACTCTGTCCAAAGTGTATTTTATTTATTTATTTTTTTGTAAGACAACATCCACAAACAACTGTTGAATTGGTGGACAGCACAAGAAGCATGGACATTTCAGCCCAAAGCTGACAATTGATGGCTTTGTTTTATTCTTACAGGATTAAAAACTCATCAGGAAGCCTTGGCTTCATACAAAACCTCCCTTTTATCTCATTAAGGTATTTAGACTGTGGCTGCTGCTTAGGCCCTTGAAACATTTGTGAATTTTTATGTCCTAATAATTTGTTTGTCTGAGCAGGGATTTTGGTAAATCAAGTAATTTTTTTCTACTGGCACAGACACTGATCCTCCCAACCAAAGGAAGAGCTGGAGGGAGTTTGTGTAAGATTTAACACTCTCCAGCGTGTGCTCTTTACATGCTATGCCTGCACTGCACTCAGCGAGCGACTCTCACATTTGTGCTCCAGGCTGCAACCTCCCCTTCCCAGCAGTAATTTTCCCAAAGCACTCTCCAATTATATTCCCTTGGCAGGAGCTGCAGCAGGAATGTCCCTTCTTTTCCCTGCTGCTCTCTGTGAGTGGCAGCCATGCTCTGTTTACATAACCGTGCTAATGGTCTGGCTGCAGAGCCAGGCAGGCTGTGGGATTTTCTCCCTGAAAATCCCTCACACAGCATCATCCCTCTCCCCAGGCCATGGAGCAGCAGCTCTCCATGGCACAGCCTCCCTTGGCACAGCTTTGGAGGCAGTCTGTTCTCATCTTGGAGCGAGGGCAGGGATGGAAGCAAAGCCTCTCTGCTTGGCAGAGGAAAGGCTGCCATGAAACCCATGCACTGGAGGGGTTGGGCAAGTTGGAAGAGAGCTGCAAAGTTGTAGAGCATAATCAAGATTCCCAGCTTTTAAAAGTCTATACTCTTCTCCCTTTAAATGGTGCTTTTAGCAGCAGCTAAATGTATTTTGCCAAAGATGTATTTTGAAAGAATTTCAGACTTTTCTGTTACTTCTTTCTCATCTTCCTACTACTTATTTTTCATTACTTTTTCCTACTTTTTTCATGAAAGACAGTTGAAAAACCAGTGCCTATGCTATTGCTTCAGAAGGAAAATCCCTAAACCCAGAAATGTTTGCTCATTCTGCCTCACAGGCAATATATATGCTTCTGTTTTAATCCCTGGATGACAACACTTGAAGCATTCTGGATCCAACCTCTCAGATTCTGCTAAAAATGCATTGATTGCATGGATTGTATTGACTGTATTTTAAAAGGAGTTTTCATATTTAGGACTCTTCTGGTCAGCAGTCACTCTCACCAGTTGATGACACTGGCTGCAGTTTTGCAGCACACAAGATGTGTCAGCTGCATTTGACATTCAGAAAGAACTACAAGTTTAAAGAATTCAGGTGCTCCCAGACAAGAATAAAGGGAACCTCTTCTACCCCACAGAGACCATTAAAAGGTCCACAACTCCTCCTGAAATCTAAACCTTCAACTGGCCTTTTAAACACGTTCACAGCCATGCTATCATATCAAACAAGCACCTGAATTCTTTCAAGGGTCTACCCAGCTCTTGCAGCTGATCCAAGAGCAGGGTGAAGAGACCAGGCTGGTGCACACTATGTCACGTTAAGGGGAGTGAAATGAAAGGCCCAACACTAAACTGGATTCTCTCCAAAATGCTTAGGGCCTCAGCAAGCTACCACACTGGTGACAGCTTTAAATGTCAGCACAAACTTCCTTTAGTCAGAAAGTCCCTAAAACAGGAGACTTAACCATGTTCTTGAGGTTTGGAATTCCTCTTAAGAGTCTACTGCCCTCACCTCTTTCTACAAGGGATGCATTTAACTGGGTAGTGATTTACCCCTGCTCTGCCTGGATGTTTGGAATCATACTCCTTTATGCCATGTTATTTTCAGCCAACCTTGTTCTCAGGCATTACACTCTCTGAACTGAGACAGTGAAAGAACGCCTGCAAAACAGACTAAACAACCTTTTATTGTTAGGCAGCACTGATACCATTCATGGTCAGCGCAAGGTTTGAATATTAAACAGCCCATCTTTCCCAGTACACTCAGGCACTCAGATAACTAAAAAATGTCTCCTCCTGTGGGTGTAACTGAAATACAGCTGATCCCAAGGGAGAGAAATTACAGAGGAATTGTAAATATGATTGGGAGTAGCTGCAGAGGCCACTGCTGAGAACTCTGTCTTTGGGTGCTCAGCACCACATATAAGCAGCTCTCATATGGTCTGAACAAATGCTACATGAGAGGCAAATTGTATCTCTAGGCAGCTTCTTTCAGGAAGGGAAGGGCTTCACAATCCTGGAAAAAACCATCTTACTTTTCAGGTTGTCTGTGTGGCAACCTGAGTAAGAACTCGTTGCTGATAGAAACTGCAGCAGGTACAGGAACTGACAGTGTGAGTACTGTAAACACAGGCACATGAATTTAAACCAATTTTTGTTTATTTTGTTTAACAGGACATGTATTATGTACTTCACTACACACATCCCAGCACACCTGGGTGTTCAGCTTCTGGTTTTCAGCACTTGACTGCTTTATTTTCTGCTTTGTATTATCTTGACCTTTAGCTGCTGTAATGATCACAGAACTATTTATTTTGATAAACCAGCTAGCTGAAGGCCAGCCAGCAGAAAGAAGGTACCACATTTGCTGTGCTGATATTTGGTTTGCTTTGCTATATTGACTGCAGCTTGTCATATAGATAATTTCTTTCAGCAACAAAGTTGGTGGCCTTGAGGGAAAAAACTCTTAGAAGTCACATTAGGATCAGGTTCCATGTTGCTGACAGTTCCTGTTTGCTCTGACAATGCTCATGAATATCCAGGCAGGTTTCAGCTTTCCTCTTGGGGATTGTGGAAGCTCTGTGGGAAGCTAATCAGGATCTGCGCTTTTGCACAGAAATGGTGAGCACTGTGTTTCCACTCAAGCACCAGTTTACACCAAAGCCACTGAGGTGTCACTGTAAACAGGTCTCTGGACCTTCCCCATCCCAGAGCGGGCTGCTGTGCACGGGGACATGAACATCCAGTCTGGCTTGAGACCAGGTCATCTCTGGACAACTGACCCTCTACTGGATCAGTCTGGGAGCAGTCTGAACCTTCTACCTGCAAGGGGGCTCTAAGGCACCCCATTGCAACACTTCAAAACAAGGACCGGCTACATCAGGTGACAAATCAACACATAAAAAGGTAGGAAGAGAGGTCAAACCCAAAGCAACAGTAATTTAAGGCTTAAAAAAAAAAAAGTAAACAAAAATAGACTTTTATCTACATTTTTATTACAGTGAGATGGACAAAATGAGCAAATTGAGGAAAATGTAATGAATGATGTCTGGTAACATTTCAGTGTGTTTTTGAAAACTGCCTTATCTTGACCTTTAAAATGACTCCTGGGACATGAACCATAATTACAGTCGAGTCAGAAATTCATCAAGGCTCCTCTGAGAAACTGAACCATCTCAGAAGCATGTTGTATGAATTCCTCAGAGGACTTGAAAACAGTGGCTGTTCAGTAAACAAATACTTTTCCTATCACCTTCCTGTCTAGAACTTTCAAAACACATTTCAATTGTTGTTGTAAAATAATCCTTCTGCTTATCTAGACTAGAACACAGCACCATTTCTCCTACAGCATATTTCCCTTTGGTGAATAACAAAATAAATTCTCAGCTAATGAAATAAATCTAGCAGAACAAATCTGCATATATTTTAAACAATATATTTGCATTATAAGTCTGTAAAAGCACTTTTAAAGTCAATTTAAGGCTTATCTTTTATGTATGGCTAAAGATGACAAAGAGTAGACTGCAAGAACAGGAAGGTCATCCTTAAAGTCCAAAGCAATTAAGACTTAGCTTATTTATTACTGGATTTAAGAAGCTGCTTCTTCCCCCTAAGAATTGTTCCACTACTTCTAAAAAAAAAAAGTTTTTTCTACTCATTGTTAAGCCCTTGCTGGCACTGAGATGTTTTGCCTGTGGGTTATGGAGACAGTCTCTGGGAATACATTTTCACTAATTCACTGAAGTCAATGGCATTAGATTAGAAATGTCAGCTCACATAAACTGGAAAGAAAAAGACAAAAGCTAATAAGCCTTGCTATTTCCAGCACAAGTTTGAAACTCGTGCAATATTCCTAGGTTTGCCTTGCACATCTGCCTTTTCCTTGGCTCCTGGAACAAACATAACCAGGTTAACCCACTTGTGTTATCTACATCAAATAAATCCATCTTTGCTAGACTATACCTGGGCTAGCAATTTTCTATTCTATGCAAGACAGATCTAACAGTTTGCACTCAGCACTGTTCAGATCAAAACAAATAACTAATAATTTGAATTTTTCTTCCAGGAATCATAGTGAAGACATTGAAGTTCTTTTGACGAAAGGAGATAATTAAATATTACATGAGGTACTTTAATAAAGTATTTCTTCTCACTGGAATACATCCTAAAATAAATATCCCTAGTTTAAACCTCCTGGTGCAGTGAAAGAGAACAGAGTACTAAAAGCATCCCTGTGTCCAGTGTGACTTCAATTTTCACATCATGATTTAACACTGGTTATTTATACCTAGAAACTAATATTTGCATTTCCATACTATCTTCCACCTGAGAATATCAAGGACCTGACAGCTTCCTGATGACCTCCTCTTTCCAGAGGCACTCACATCAGGTAAAAAGGTCCAGAAAAAAAAAGTACAGTGAGATTTCTGCAACTTGCCCAGTGTCAAAGAGGAAGGTGACAGCAAGACAAGTCTGATATTCTTTCTCCAGTGTTCAGCTCACAGATGTCCACTCTTTCTGCACTGATCCCACTTTGTAATATTCACCACTTTTTTGTGTGCAGCATGCTCTCAGCAGCCCAAGAAGACATACAATCTAGTAAACCAAGGTACAGAGTACAAAAGAAAATGGAACTACTATTTATTACTTTGAGATATGACCTCTTACCAACATATTTAAAGCAATTTCCAAGTTAGCCTTTATCATCAAATGGAAATTTTATTTATATTTTCAACATGAAATACATTAAAATACAATGCTGGGCTGACATACATGCTTTCCTGAAAGAGGGATCAATTCTGTCTTGCATATTCTGATTTTAAATAGTTCCAAGTCCTATTTTAAACTTTTTCTGTACTCTGCTGTTCATGATAATTTACTCATTATTTATAAAGCACCGATTACAGGCTGTACATAACTAGGGAGTGATGATACACAACAGAAGACAACAATTACTTGGCTGTGGATTATGAAGTGCTAAGTTACATACACATTTCTTCAAAATTCAAAAGCCAGCTTCCTTGGAGTCATGAACTGCTTCACAATTTCATCTGTGACCTGCTTCCTTCTCTCCTGATGAGCTGCTACCAAGGGCTGCATTGTTTCAATAAGTACCTTCTTCAGCTCTCCTGTGAGCAATTCCCCACTGGTGTAGGCCTGTCAAGAAAGTTTTGGTTGCTGAACATGGTGCCATTCACAAAAAGACTCAGCGATCAGTATTTCTTTAAAAGACAGATTTGGATTACTTAAAAGTGAGTACATGCCTTGGAAGATTATCTGGTATCACTCTGAAAATGAAACTTGCAGAGTTGCTTGTTGCCTGTTAAAACATTAAGGTAGCTGGCAAACTTTGTATGTGCAAGTTATTATAAGGACTGAATAAACTACATTCACTAGTGTAACTAGGAAATCCTGTAATTACTTGCAGGAAACTGCAATTTTCCTCCCCAGAATCCCAGTTCAAATAAACAGTTTAAGCCTTTATTTTCCTCAATAACAGGTACAAATTCTCATATTTTTCTCTCCCTGCATTTGGTAAGAGATTAGATGTGATTTAAATATCCTTTTTATAGCAAAGACACTCAGAATCTATGTTCACACTGTAGTCATATTCACAGCTGGTAATCCACTCCATTGCTCAATACTGAAATGCTGAAGCACAGGCCAAGTTTATTGGTTCAGTCACATTTAGCAATCATGGCTGGGACAGCTCAGCTATATTTGAAATGACAATAAACATGATTGCCTCCCCTCATCATCAAGCCATTTGTAACACCTGCTCAAGGTGTAAATGCTGCTGATGTTCACTCAGCAAGAGTAAAATACATTAACAAGAACAACTGGAATTGCAATTTCAGGGTGTGGTTTGAGGTCAGCATGTTTGAGGTCTGTGTGGGGCTGTTCAGCCTGGAGAAAAGGAGACTCAGAGGTGACCTTATCACTCTCTGCAACTTCCT